ACCAAAAAATTCAATATTGAGGAATAAACAAAGGAAGTGAAAAATATCTACAATTAAAACTATAAATCATGACAAAATCAACTGAAGACACAAAAAATGGAGATATATCCCATATCCACTAATTGGAAGGATCAATATCTTTAAAACGCCCACACTACCTTAAGTGATTTAAGGATTCAACTCAATTCCTGTCAAACTACCAATGACAGGGCCAGCACTGTTGCGTAGTAGGCTAAGCCTCACCTGTGGCACTGGCATCCCATATAGGCTCCTTTTTGTGTCTGGGCTGCTCCTCATCTGATCCAACTCTCTGCTATGGCCTGGGAAAACAGTAGAGGATGGCCCAAGTGCTTGGACCCCTGCATCCACATGAGAGATCCAGAAGAAGTTCCCACCTCCTGGCTTCAGATCGGCTCAGCTCTGACCATTGAGGCCATTTGGGGAGTGAACTAGCGGATGGAAGACCTTTCTCTCTGTTTCTCTCTCTGTGTGTCTGTAACTCCATCTCTCAAATAAATAAATAAAATCTTTTGGAAATATACCAATGACGTTTTTACACAAAGATAGAAAAACACTACTGAAATTTATAGAGCCAAAAAAGAATCCAAATAGCCCAAAGCAAGTTTGAGCAAAAAGAACAAAGCAAGAGGCTTTATACTACCTGACTTTAAAATATATTACAAAGCTACAATAATATTCACAGCATAGCACTGGAATAGAAATAGACACATAGGCCAACTGAACAGAACAGAAATTCTAGAAGTAAGCCCACATAACTATAGCCAAATGATCTTTGACAAAGGTGCTAAAAACATGCATTGGAAAAAGGACAGTCTTAATAAACAGTGCTGGGAAAATTGGATATCTGCATTTAGAAGAATAAAACTAAACGTCTATCTGTTATCATGTACAAAGAGCCATTCAAGGGGCTGGTGCTGTGGCGTAGTAGGTAAAGCCGTCGCCTGAAGTACCAACATCTCATATGGGTGCTGATTCAAGTCTTGGATGCTCTACTTCCAATCCATCTCTCTGCTATGGCCTGGGAAGTAGTAGAAGATAGCGCAAGTGCTTGAGCCCCTGCCATCCACGTGGGAGACCTGAAAGAAGCTCCTGGTTCCTGGCTTTGGATCGGTCCAGCTCCAGCCATTGTGGCCATCTGAGGAGTGAACCAGCATATGGAAGACCTTTCTCTCACTCCCTCTGCCTCTCTGTAACTCTAAGTTTCAAATAAATAGATAATTAAAAAAAAAAAAGCAATTCAAAATGGATTAAAGACCTAAATGTAAGACCTGGAACTTCAAAAGTAATGGAAGAAAACACATAGGAAATACTTCAGGACATTGGAATAGAAAAGTATTTTTTAGATCATATTTCAAAAGCACAGGCAACAAAAACAAATCTCATCTAACTACAGAATTTCTACATAAAAAAGGAAACAACAGAGTGAAGGCACAATCTATGCAACTGGAGAAATTCTTGCAAGACATACATCTGACAAGGGGTTAATAACCAGAATATATAAGGAATTTAAAACAATTCAATAGCACAAACAAAACAATAACAAAACAAAAAACCCAACAACAAATAATCCAATTTTAAAATGGGCAATAGATCCAGACTTTTCTCAAAAGAAGACATACAAATAATCAACAGGTACATGGGGAAAAAAAGCTCAATATTACTATCCATCAGGGAAATGCAAATAAAAACCACAGTGAGGGGCCCAGGTTGTGGCACAGTGGGTTAAGCCACTGCCTGTAGCGCTGGTATCCCACATAGGCGAGAGTTCAAGCCCCAACTGCTCCACTTCTAATCCAGCTCCTTGCTGATGGCTTGGGAAAGCACTGGAAGCTGGCCCAAGTGCTAAGGTCCCTGCAACCAGGTGGGAGACATGGATGAAACTCCTGGTTCCTGGCTTAGGCTTGGCATGTTGGGTCATTTGAGGAATGAACCAGAAGATGGAAGATCTCTCTCTGTCTCTCCCTCTCTCTGTGTAACTCTGCCTTTCACATAAATATAATAAATCTTTTTTTAAAACACACACACACACATACAATGAGATACCACCTCACCCCAGTTAGATTGACAAAAGACAAAAGATAACAAGTGTAGCAAGGATGTGGAGGAAACAAAGCCTTTGTACGACATCAGTAGGACTGTAAATTAGTACCATCACTGTGGAAAACAGTATGGACATTCATCATAAAACTAAAAATACACCTACCATATGATACAGCAACACCATTACTGGGTATACACCTAAATGAAATGAAACCATGGTGTCACAGAGACATCTGCACTATCATGGTCAATGCAGCATTACATTAGGCAAGAAATGGAAACAAACTAAGTGTACAGCCACTGATGGATGGATAAAGAAAATGTTGTAGGATCTCTGTCCTTAGTGTGCCTGTACATTGAGATTTAATGCTATAACTAGTACTCAAACAGTATTTTTCACTTTGTGTTTCTGTGTGGGAGCAAACTGTTGAAATCTTTACTTAATGTATGCTAAACTGATCTTCTGTATATAAAGAGAATCAAAAATGAATCTTGATGTGAATGGAAGGGGAGAGGGAGTGGGAAAGGGGAGGGTTCCGGGTGGGAGGGATGTTATTGGGGGGGGAAGCCATTGTAATCCATAAGCTGTACTTTGCAAATTTATATTCATTAAATAAAAGTTAAAAATAAAAAATAAATAAATAAATAAAAGAAAATGTATTACATATACCCAATGGAATACTACTCAGCCATAAAAGAAGATGAAACATTGTCATTCACAACTTGGATGGAACTGGAGGCCATTATGTTAAATGAAATAAGCCAAACACACAAAGATGGTGGTGATCTTACAGAAATTAAGAGTATACTAGTGAGGGCAAGTGCTGTGGCACAGCAGGTAAAGCTGTCGCCTGCAGTGCCAGCATCCCATATGGGCACCAGTTCTAGTCTCGGCTGCTTCACTTCTGATCCAGCTCTTTGCTAATGGCCTGGGAAGGCAGTGGAAGATAGCCCAAGGGCCCAAGTGGAAGTGGCCTAAGGGTCCAAGTGGAAGATGGCCCAAGAATCCCTGCACCTGAGTGAGAAACCCAGAAGAAGCTCCTGGCTCCTGGTTTTGGATCGGCCCCGCTTTGGCCACTGCAGCCATTCTGAGAGTGAACCAGCAGATGGAAGACTGTGCTCTCTCTGCCTCTGCCTCTCTGTAACTCTGCCTTTCAAATATTTATATATATATATGAGTATACTAGTGGTTACCGGGGCTAGGAAGGAAGAGACAAGGAAAGGTTGATTAATGGGTACCACCTATAGCTAGAGAGGATTAAGAAGCTCTGGGGATCTATTACCCAAAAGATAATTATAGACAATGTCAATGTACTGAACATTTCTCTATAAAATGGGATTCTGGATGTTTCTCCCATAAATAAATGCTAAATGTCTGAGTACATAGATATATTTACTGTGATTTGACATTATATAAGGCATACATGTGTCAAAACATCAACCAGTATATATGCATAAATTAATGCATAAATAAATGCATTAATTTTTAACAGAAAAATTGGAACAAGTAAAAAAATATTGAAAGTAGTTACTACAAGAAGTAGAATTGTGGACAACTGTAACTTCCTTCCTTCTACTCTTCTGAAATGTCCAAAACACTCACTATGAGTCTATCCATTTTATGAAGGAAAAGAAGCTTCAACTTCAACTATACCAGTTAGGGGTATTTATTTAAAACGCCTATATATATATTACATATTCCCAATTCAAAATAGGAAAAATTTTGAAAAAAAAAAAAACAGGATAAAACTACTGTACACATAGAAAAAATGAAGTATAGGTAATAAATGTTAAATTGGTTGTATCTGTCCAGTATCTTTTATTTTATTCATTGTTCTATCTTACATTTTCCTAATTTTTCACAATGAACACACTTCACTTCTATAAAAAACTCTTATGACTAAATTCAAAAGGTCTTTTATTTAATGGGGAGAGTTTTAAACTTTTCAAGTTACAATTGCTCAGGAAGTTTTTGTGATCATTTCAAGTAAATTGCCAAGTATCTCTTAAAATATATTTTTAAATATTTATTGGGGCTGGCATTGTGATGTAGAGAGACAGAGAGGGAGAGGGAGAGGGAAGGAGGGAAAAGAGAGAGGGAGAGAAAGAGAGAATCTTCCATCCACTGGTTTATTCCCCAAATGGCTGCAACAGCCGGAATGGGCCAGTCCAAAGCCAGGAGGCAGGAGCTTCCTCCAGGTCTCACAAGTGGGGGCCAGGGCCCTAGTACTTGAACCATCCACCACTGCTTTCTCAGGTGCAATAGCAAGGAGCTCAATGGAAGTGGAGCAGCCAGGACTGGCATCCACAGAGGATGCTGGCGCCACGGCACAGCTTTACCTGCTACTCTACAATGCTAGCCCCGCTCTTAAAACATTTTTAAAGGTATTTAACAGTAAAGCATTTTTTCTTGTAGTTGTTCTTGTTGCAGTTTATTTAACTTGTTAAGGGAACACATTCTAACTTTTTAATCGTTCTAATATCTAATTAATATTTTATATAATAATGGAATCCTGGGAAGAATTATAGTGGTATTTATTGCACCTGGAAAATAGCATACTCACAGGGAGAAATGTGGCTTTACTATCAGTCACCAAGAAGTGACTAAATTATCTATAACTGCCTGGTCTTTCCACACCTGGAAGAAGTCTATACAAAGACTGGAATCTTTGCCTTCACTAATAGTCAAGATCCAAAGATCAAAATGTTCACATAATGTCTAATAAAAACGTCCTTTATTTTAATTAAAGGCCATTTGGGCTTCTAATATAAAATAGTCCACATTTTCTTTAGTAAAAACTTTGACATAGTTCCAAATGGTAAATGTCCTTTTTTCTTTACTTCTTTTTCCTTTATGACTTACTTCTAAGTTCTGTTACAGGCATCTATCAAGTTAGACACGTGGAAGCCCCAGTAGTTCCAGGCTGCTCTCTACATACCTCAATAGCAGCTCCACTGTCCATCCTTATGTGAGGGACTTTTCCTTCTGTGACGGTGCCTCGAGTCCACTGTTGTTGAGATGCTTTTCTCTCGACACTTAAGGTTCTTGAGGACTATAAGTAAACAGAAATTTTTAAAAATTTTACTACATAATATTCTTGTCGCAAAGCACATTAATTTAGATAATCTGATAAATCTTTAATGTGTGCCATGATCTTTACTGTGTACAGGACACCTTGCTATCTCTTTCGAATTCTAAGCCCTATACGATTCAGTGACTCATTGGCTAGAAGACCGTAAGAAATCATTCAACCCTATCTTCTGAAACTACATGTTAACCTGCACAGCAAATACATTAGAATCAACCTGATGATTATTTTTTTAAATTTTAAAAAAATTGTATTTATTTGAAAGACAGAGAAAGAGAGGGCAAGAAAGAGACAGAAATATCCCATGTACTGGTTCACCCACCACATGCTCGTCGTCAGGAACTCACTGTCCCATATGGGTAGCGGGAACTCAGCTAACCTGAGTCATTATCACTAGTCTGCATTAGCAGGAAGCTGGAATCAGGAGCCAGAGCCAGGAGTCAAACCCAGCTGCTCTGAAGTGAAATACAGGCATCTTAACCACCTGATGATTCTTTAAAATCATCAAAGAAGGCAACTTCATAGTTTTCTCATTCACCCTTGTTTTCAAACATAATAAACATCTCAATAGATTTTACATAATTATTGGCTAGACAGTCACAGAATATGCTTTTGTGAAAGTAACAGTAATGATTCATTCAGAGATATCTACATGGCAGCAACTAAATCATAATGCAAATCACAAATAATAGCTGAAGGTGAAAATATGATCAAGGTCCAAGTCTGAGGGACAAGAACCTGACTTTTCTTTTTTTTTTTTTATAAGATTTATTTATTTATTTATTTGAAAGTCAGAGTTACACAGAGAGAGAAGGAGAGGCAGAGAGAGATTGCGGTCTTCTGCTGGTTCACTCCCCAGTTGGCCGAAACGGCCGAAGCTGTGCCAATCTGAAGCCAGGACCCAGGAGCTTCCTCTGGGTCTTCCCTTCTGGGTGCAGAGGCCCAAGGACTTGGACCATCTTCCACTGCTTTCCCAGGCCATAGCAGAGAGCTGGATTGGAAGTGGAGCAGCCCATATGGGATACGGGCACTGCAGACAGAGGCTTTACCCACTACACCACAGCACCGGCCCTGAGAACCTGACTTTTCTTAAACTTATTGCTCTCTGTCTCTAAAGTTGGGCTGTATCAACTACAATCTTCCATACTACCTCTCCTCTATAAAGATGAATACACACCAATCAGTTCAAGTGGGTATCTCTAGATCATTTATAACTAATGCAAAATGATTTTTATATTTAAATTAAGTATAGTTAATATTCCAACCAGAAACTGTCTTAAATAACAAAGTCATAATCACTCTTTCTTTAACTACAACCATAAACCCTTTTCTTGGTCAGTTGAAGAAAGTACTCAAACCTTCAGCTTTAATTCAACTTGAAAATCACTTGCTTTCTGCATAAACCATTTTTAAAAAGCTGAAATAACATTCCTAATTATTCAGGACCTGAGAGATAATTAATGTGGGCACCTCTCTTCTCCTCTCCACTGTGAGAAAGAAAAGTTCCCAAAACAGTCAAGGAAATGAACTGGCTGAAAAGGACTTATGGGATATGGACAAGGCCATAAGATGTGATTAGGGAATGGGATGTCAACTTATGTTGAGATGCAGAGTTTTTGATACTTACCACATCCTTCATAGAGGTAAAGTCTCTGTTGCCATTTTTTTCTTTTTTTCTCTCTGGTGAAACTAAAAATTCTGCACTACCAATGCTTGATGTCTGCGACATTTCCACCACCAACATTGGAGAAACCCTGGGTTTATCGGAACACAAACAAAGTATATCTTTCTGAGAAGGAGATGAACAGATGGGGCACTGAGTAGATTTGTTATCCAAGCCACTACCAGCCATTTGCTTAACTCTGCAACAAAAGCACTTGAAAGAAAGGCGTATCCACTTTCTGAGTAGGACAACCGAACCAAAAAGGATATGGCAGGTTGAGAGTGAAAACTGTAACTTCCAATTGGTGAGGTCCTTAGGTCAATGATGCACTAGACTTATATTCACACATGAGAGCTACAGAAAGAAAAGAAATTGTAATTTAGAAAATTCTTATTTTACTGCTCTCCTAGAAATTATAGAAAAACTAGCAACTAGAACCAAAAGAAATCTGCACAGACATGAAAAGTTAATATTAACAACAAAATTGGACCACAAAACTGCTGAAAAACATAGTGTAAAACAGTTTCTTATCAAACTGCAGGAGCAGGTTATGAAATCGATTTGGTAGTTTGATATCAATTTTTTAATGAAGTACAATAGATAATATTCTACACAGATCCTCAATAAGTTTTATGAAACTTTCAATTACACATATACAGATACAGAGTGGGTATCATGGTGTATACATGGTCCTAATATAAAATGTATTATTAATATGGTTATGGTAAAAATAAAAATATTACTGCAAAACATGAAAATTACTATAGTTTTAAAATTTTAAGCCTTAGTCTATTTTTCTTTAAGATTTATTTTTATTTATTTGAAAGTCAAAGTTACAGAGAGGCAGAAGCAGAGAGAGAGAGAGAGAGGTCTTCCATCCACTGGTTCACTCTCTGAATGGCTGCAATGGCCAGAGCTGAGCCGATCTGAAGCCAGGAGCCCTGAGCTTCCTCTGGATCTCCCAACAAGGTGCATGGGCCCAAGGACTTGGGCCATCTTCCACTGCTTTCTCAGGCCATAGCAGAGAGCTGGATCAGAAGTAGAGCCAGCCCTGGCCTTAGTCTATTTATTATCAGAGCAAATTTCTATTACAAATTTTACAAAGGAGTGTATAATTTGATTTTATAAAATCATCTGACTCTAAAAGTTCAAGATAGTATTAAAAGTATCCTCCTTTTCATCCTGATATAACAAAAATTGAATGAGTGGTGCTATTTGCCTCCAAATCTAGAATAGATGTATCCAGCATTCTTCCTACCTAGGGTCAGTGTCGGCCACTGGGTGGCAAGTTCAAAAGAGCTGAGGGAGGGCCAGCGCCGCGGCTCACTAGGCTAATCCTCCACCTTGCGGCGCCGGCACACCGGGTTCTAGTCCCGGTTGGGGCGCTGGATTCTGTCCCGGTTGCCCCTCTTCCAGGCCAGCTCTCTGCTGTGGCCAGGGAGTGCAGTGGAGGATGGCCCAGGTGCTTGGGCCCTGCACCCCATGGGAGACCAGGAGAAGTACCTGGCTCCTGCCATCGGATCAGCGCGGTGCACCAGCCGCAGCGCGCCAGTCGCGGCGGCCATTGGAGGGTGAACCAACCGCAAAGGAAGACCTTTCTCTCTGTCTCTCTCTTTCACTGTCCTCTCTGCCTGTAAAAAAAAAAAGAGCTGAGGGAATAAAGAATGTGCTCCGCAGTACATACAAAGGAATACCTTGAGAAACTCAGCAGAAGCAACTGAATGGACATTACCATAGTTTTATGCCATTTGTGTATCAAATACTGTTTTTATTTGAAAGGCAGAATTAAAGAGAGGTAGAGACAGAGAGAGATCTTCCATCAGCTGATTCACTCCCCAAATGGCCGCAACAGCTGGAGCTGGGCTGATCCAAAGCCAGGAGCCAAGAGCCTCCTCCGAGTCTCCCACGTGGGTGCAGGGGCCCAGGGACTTGGGCCATCTTCCATTGCTTTCCCAGGCCATAGTAGAGAGCTGGATGGGAAGTGGAGCAGCTGGGACTCAAACAGGCACCTATATAGGAGGACGGCACTGCAGGCGGCAGCTTTACCCACTAGGCCACAGCACCATCCTCTCAGATACTCTTTGAAAGTATATTTTGTAGTGATGGACTTGCTAGGCCTAGGGTTATATGGAATATGCCTCTGCCCTTTGAACTGAAATAAACTTGACCAGAACAGGAAGTTAGTATCATTTCATTAAAGAAACATCTTTCTAGTCTTAGTTGTTCAAGATAGGTGCTTTTTTTTTTTTTTTTTTTTTTGAGAGAGAGAGAGAGAAGAGAGAAAGAGAAAGAAAAAGAAAAAACACACCCTCACTCATTGATTCACTCCCCAAATACCTACAACAGCTGGAGCTGAAGTTGGGAATTGGGAACTCAATCCAGGTCTCCCACACGTGTGGTAGCAACTCAATTACTGAGACATCACTGCTACCTACCAGGTCCACATTAGCAGGAAGCTGGAGTTAGGAGTCACAGTCGGGTACTGAACTCAGGTACCCCGATATGAGGCAAGGCCTCTTACCTGCTAGTCCGAAATGCCTACCCACAACCAGAAGTAAGTGCTGACTTTCATGAAATCCTTATCTCTTATGATTATAATATTCTTTTTATTGGATTTTAGATATGTTGCATTATATCAAAAGTTTTCCTAACATTAAAGAATTCTTTCTTTTATAGTAGGACCTGTATGTGATCACAATGGGTCATTCTTTAAGATAATGAAAAACTGATATGTCTGTATTTTGAGTTTTCACATTTATTCATAAATTAAACTTGTCTATAATTTTCTTTCCAGCCATCACTGCTAGGTTTTGAGACAAGATGCTGGCTAGTTTCATAAAATAAAATGGATATCTTTTCAATTTGCAGTGCTTGGTAACAATTTGTATAGCATGTGAAACTACAAGAAAATTTGTCAGGCCTACAGATTTTCTGAAGGATTTTGCTAATAGCATGTCCAATATTCACTCTCCCATTCTTCCTTATTAACAGAACCCTGGTTTTGTTCAGGGCAGGAGTGTATTCATTAACACCCCACATTGCCTGGCCTCCCTTGCATATCAGGAGAGGACATATGATTTATAGTCCAGAAACTTACAGAATGCAGGCAAAGCTATACCTAACATTTATATTTTTTAATCATCATTAAAATCATAGAAAAAGTAGGAATACACTAAATGAGCAACCAAGTAAAAATGACAGAAAAACATGATTGAGGAACAAAATTTAAGATGAACAGAAATGACAAAGATTAGCACGGTTTTTGAATTTGGCCTAAAGGTTCCATATAAACTGACCCATCACTACCTCATCGACTTCTTACCTTTTCTTTTTTAAAAGGTGTATTTATTTATTTTGAAAGTCAGAGTTACAGACAGAGGGAGAGAGAAAGATCTTCCAACTGCTGGTTCACTCCACAGATGGCTACAACAGCCAGTGCTGAACCAGGCTGAAGCCAGGAGCCAGGAGTTTCACCTAGGTCTCCCACGTGGGTGCAGGGGCCCAAGCATGTGGGCCATCTCCTGCTGTTTTTCCCAAGCCATTAGCAGGGAGCTGGGTGGGAAGTGGGGAAGACAGGACACGAACCACACTCATACAGGATGGCGGCATGGCAGGTGGCGGCTTTACCTGCTGCACTACAATGCCGGTCCCTAGACTTCACATCTTACTATTCTCTCTCCCTCACTCTAGATATACAAACCTCCTTACTGTTCCTTGAATACACCAAGCACGCTCCCTTCTCAAGGCTTCTTCCTCTTTGCTCCTCCACCTAGGATTCTCTTCCCTCAAACCTTTTCCTGTCTGCTTGCTTCTAGGTTTCCACTCATTTGAGAGACATTTCCTAACCACCTATCTAAAACGGAAGGCCCATTAACTCATCTAACTCTGTTTTTCTTCCTAGCACTTATCATTTCACTCAGTAAGTTTCATAGCAGATTTCTTTTCCTGTTTTTAGAAAAGAGGTGATTCCCATATAAATTGTTTCAGAGCAACACAAAGCCACCCAGTTCATCTTATTCAGTTACAAGAATCAAATTCTGACCATGGTAGTATATCCCAAAATGCAGGGAGTGTTCTTCCTGTCAATCCTGCTTATAAACTGATCCAAACGTCCCAAGTGTTGAACTAGCATGGACCCCAGGTAATGGATACCGCTTATTATAGGATTATTAGATAGAAATAATAGACAAAGTCAGTTCAGTAAGTATGATCTTTCATCAAAGTGATGGGAAAAGATTCTGCTGTGATTAAAACTCATAATAGTGACCATAAGGAAAGGAGCATAAAAGTACCCCCTAGACAGGGAAAAGGACAAAAGAATGCAACTGATGCCTTTACACAAACACATACACACACACACAACTTCTCTTACAAGAGCTTAGCCTTGTTTTTCAAGTATAAGTAGCAAGACAAAAAAAAAAAAAAAAAAACACCTCAGAATATACCTATACACACTCTACAGGGCAATGTAACTTCAGGCCTAGAAGAAAAAGCTTTGCTTTTAGGTTAAATATAAAGCTGCAATCATCAGTGACTCAGAACAGTGGAACTGGTCTGCAAATAACAGCTTTTCTGTGAATAAAAAATAGTGCCAGTATAGAAAAGTCCCATGTTAAATGTGTAAGTCATCATTTTATGCCTGCAATAAGAATACCCATTTTATGGTATTTTTAACAAGAAACTGTAGAACTGTTCATAATGTAAAGGTTTAAAGTACATCTGAGTTCCTTCACTGTAAACAGTACTCCTGAAAGCATGCTGACAATATCATTCAAGTTTTAGAAAATATACATTCACAAATTTAAACAGTATCATTAAATAATAAATTTCCTATTTTAATGGATTGAATTATGAGGGTTCTTTAAGTTTTGGATATTAACTCCATATCAGATATGTGATATGCAATTATTTTTTCCCAGTTCACAGGTTGCCTGTTTGTAGTGTTGTTTTCTTTGCTGTACAAAAGCTTTTTAGTTTGATATAGTTCCATTTATTTGTTTTTGCTCTTGAAGCTTGAGTTTTTGGTATGTTATTCAAAAGCCATTGCCAAGGCCGATGTTGAGGAGGTCTTCCCCGATAGTCTCTTACAGGATTTTTAAGGTTTCAAGTATTACCCTTAGGTCTTTTATCCATTTTGAGCTGATTTCTGTGTGTTCTGTAAGGCAAGGGTCCAATGTCATTCTTTTGCTTGTGGAAATTCAGTTTTCTCAACACCATTTATTAAAGAGACTATCCATTTTCCCACTGTGTATACTTTTGGTACCCTTGTCAAAAATTCAGTGACCACATTTGTTTGGATTTATCTCCAGGTTCTCTAATACATTGGTCTAGTTTTTGTTTTGTGATAACATCAT